CAGGAACTAGTGGTTGCTGATTCATGTTGAAAGGTGGAAGGAGTGAAGTCAGCGTGAATAGGAGGCGGCTGACAGAGGCGGCGTGAGTAGGTGGAAACTAACTGGGGAGAATGGGCAGGTGAAACACGGAGCAGTGCCGCCGGAGTTCAACAATTATGGGAACGGAGGAGAAGAGGAATATTCCATCGGCAATCATGCGGCGCGGCGTTTGTGTTTGTGTTTGTGTTTGTGAGAAATGAGAATAGGGTTAGGGCTTAGGCAAATATCAACTTCATCTTCAAAACTATTTAGTGCATCAAAATTATCGGGAATCAAATTTTCGGGCAGATTGTCATTAATATTGTAATTGTTGTTGAAAACAACATTCACAACCACCGGGGGATTGAAGAGTGGGTGTCCCGGTAGCTCTTTTACTATCGGGACAAGTGGATGACTTCTTGCTCTTGGGAGCCAGAAATCCTACATCGCATTCAGTCCAGTGGCGGATCCAGGACGAAAATTCAGGGTATGCCGGCGGCTGTGTCGAGTCCAAGAATTTACTGTATAGTGGGGTTAAATTTTTGGGTGTTCGGGGGCAGCGCCCTCGGATAAAAAAATTCAAACTTTTTTGTTGGATGAATTAGGAGAATGGAAAAAAAATTGAAACTTTTTTTTTTTTTTTTGATAAATTAGGAGAAGAAAATATTTGGGACTTTTTTTGTATATTTATAATTTTGGGTGGACTAAATAATAATATAGATATAATATAATGTGTTTTTGGGGAGAGGGGCTAAAAAAACAAGAAAAATTTAGGACTTTTTTTGTATATTTTAAAATAATATAGATATAATATAATGTGTTTTTGGGGAGAGGGGCTAAAAAAAAAAAAAAAAACGTTCGGACTTTTTTTATATATTTTAAATTTTGGGTGGACTAAATAGTAATATAGATATAATATAATGTGTTTATGGGCTCAAAAAAAATTCAGACAAAAAATAAACAATACTTTGTTGTACCATAATGGAATCGAACTCATGACCTCAACTAACAACTTGGAGATCTTTGCCACTAAGGCATATTTATTTTCGTTAGTTAGGGTGGTCCATGGCATACTTGGCCACCCCCTACATCCGCCCCTGATTCAGTCATCTTGCATTTGCAGCCCTAGTCCTAGCAAGATTAGTGATGTCTGCTACCCCTTCTCCCCCTCCACCCCCTGCAGCTGACATAATCAAGTGATACATGTTGGATAAAGAAGAATATTAAACAAATATTAATTATCTAATATAAATAATTAATCTAATACTTTAACAATTTTGTGCAAAATGTCATCTTAGATAGAGAAGTACTAATAATATTGTCCAGAATGTTATGTCATAATTTATTTAATATTTTAACGATACCCAGTCAAGAACCAACACAAACCCATCATCACATACTACAGAACCAACACAAACCCACCATCAAAGACTCCAATCAAAGAGTCCAAAACCAACACAAACTCATCATCAAAGACTCCAGAACGAGAGAACTAAGGGATTATACTTTAATTGTACTAAAATAAATATTAATTATCTAATATAAATAAGTGATACTTGTTGGAAAAAGATGAATATTTAACAAATATTAATTATCTAATATTTTATAATCTAATATAAATAATTATAAATATTAATTATCTAATAAATAATTAATTTAACAATATCTACCTTTTCACGGCAGCTACGTAGTCGGCGTTGTTAATAAATGTGTTGCCACTAATATACTGCGCTCGATCTAGAGCAACCATTCGCTAGTGCTCCAACAGTATTTGATCGTCGTTTGGGGCGTCAAATATCGCTTCAACGGCCGGCAGCGGCACATAGACATCGAGAATAGGGTTGTCATAAATGGCTCCCGGTAGAGCTGGAACTAGTGGTTGCTGATTCATGTTGAAAGGAGGAAGGAGTGAAGTCGGCGTGAATCGGAGGCGGCGTACAGAGGCGGCGTGAGTAGGTGGAAACTAGCTGGGGAGAATGGGCAGGTGAAAAACGGAGCAGTGCCGCCGGAGTTCAACAATTATGGGAACGGAGGAGAAGAGGAATATTCCAGCGGCAATCATACGGCGAGGCGTTTGTGTTTGTGTTTGTGTTTGTGAGAAATGAGATAGGGTTAGGGTTTAGGCAAATATCAATTTCATCTTCAAACTGTTTGAATACGGTGCTAAGGGATGGTAGCGGATGTGTACAATTAAGTGTTAGTAATTTTTATTTATTTTGGGTTTGCTTTATATTTACCTATCTCGGAACTTGAATGCTAAAATTTCATCATGGATGGAATGTATATTTGAATCTATTTCTTGATGCCATGGTTTTCTGCAAGAATATTTTATATACAAAAGTTATTAGATTTTAGAAAATCGGTTTTCAGCCTAACCCTCGAGAAATAAAGGTAAATTCTTCGGATTAAATACAGACTTCTTAAAACTCAAACCAAGCAAGTAAAATGTTTTAGCAATTATACATACAGCAAAAAAAGAAAAAAATAATCTCAATTTGGAATAAGCTTGATACACTCAATGATGTGCCTATGTCATGTTGCTTTCTTACTAATTTACTATAGAAGGAGAATGTAAATGCTAAAGAAACTACACATACATGTATAGTAATAAAAAAATTAAAATTTGAGGGGGGGGCCATGGCCCCCCGGCCCTACACTGGCTTCCCACTGCACTCCATTCACGCACTCCATTCACCTCTATGTATCCAAACTTTGTCTCATGTGCTTCAAAATCATGTATTAACCTCCACGACTCCACAAGAAGAGAATGGAAATCCTTATAATGTATTTGATTCATGCTGAGGATAGACAATAAAACTAGAGAATCCATTTCGATAATTTAATTTGGGAATAGATTATTCTGATTTTCAAATTAATTCTGATTTCCGATTTTTTCGAATATTGTTGGACTAAAATAGGATATATTAGACATGGCCACGGGACGGGTCGGGTCCGGGTCCGAATTTTAGGGGACCCGAAACCGACCCGCGGGGAGGCGGGTCCGGGTCCGGGGCGGGTCCACCTGGGTCCATCCGGGTCCGGTTCCGGTCCACCCGGTTTTTCAATTTTTTTTTTTTATATTTTTTTACAAGAAAGAAAAAAAAACTTATATAGAAACTTGAAAAAACATGAGATTAACTTTAAATTCAAAATTAAAAAAAAATAATTGAATTTAAATACTCAACAATTTTAGAAAAAAAAATGAAGCGATTAAGACTTTGAGACATTAACTAAATAAAATGAAAGTTGTAAAGATTGAATTATGGGTATTTATAAGTGAAAGTAATAATTGAAATTTTTTCAAAATTTCAAAATTCAAAAAATATCAAAATTCAATCTTTCTTTCAAATTAAAACGAATTTTTTTATATTTTTCAAAATTAAATATATATGCATTTTATGATATTCATTATTATTAAATAATTTTAATTAATTATTAACAAATATAATATAATTAAAAAAATAAAAGAAATTGAGGGGACTTGAGCTTAATTCATTTAAATCTTATGATGTGATTCTAATATTGGAATAAAAATGTAAATGTAAAAAAATGATTAGATCATTTGACCTACGATTTAATGTTTGCGATTTTTACAAGTTAAACCAATTATTAAAAGAGAAATCACATCATAATATTTTGATTATATTCGTCATATATAGTTTTATTTTTAAAGCAAAAAATTAATTAGAATAAAATATAATCTATTTTTGTTAAAATAAACATCATCTATATATTTAAATAATTATTTTATGATGAAATAATCAATAATTGTAATAAGTTCTTGTCAACAATTAAGGTTAATCGATTTAAATTAATTGAAATGAGTTATAATCTATTTTTCTAAATAAACATCTTATTTTATTTTTCATTCGATTTTTTCACCCTATCGTTTTTTAAAACATAGGTGAGTTTGTATTAATTCGAAGCGTTTGTTTATATATTGAATTGTATCAATAGTTTATATTTTTCAATAGTAGATATTATATTAATATAGTAATTAATAATAGATGTTTTGAAGTATTGAACTGTGATTCTATATATTTTTTTATATTGCATTTGTTAATAATTTATTTAAAATTAATTTAATAATAATTAATATGAAAATTAATAATTTATTTAACATATTTATCATTTTTTACACCAGTGTTTTATAGTATATATATTTATTGTCAACTTTTAATCAAATATGTTGGTTGACCCAATGATAAGAGTTGTTCGTTCTTCCGAGTAATTGAACCCCCACATGTGCAAGTTTTTGGACAAAAAAAACCAGAAAATCCGGGTTAATCCGACGGGTCCTCGGGTCCCGTACATGGTCAATTTGAGAAGTCACCTATTGATCCGAAACTTCATCTGAAAATTCGCCGCCGCTAGAATCCGCTCCCAAGTATCTGAAGCTGATTAAACATGTGTTGTACTCAAAGGGTCTGGAAGAGGCCTTAACGACGCCGTCTACTACTCCGGCGAATGCGCGTGTACAATTATGGTCGAGGAATTCTTTGGAAGGTGGCATTAAGATCGTAGCGAAGCATTTGGGAATAACACTGCAGAAAAAAATGTCTTGGTAAGAAAATACTATATAATTGTAGCTACTTGAGAAGTCTGAGATATGTTGAACATTTCTCGTGTTATAATAAATAATAGCACGTGGATTTTTCTCTCGCATGTTATTTCTTAATTTGTTGAACATCGAGATAAACACGTATGTAAATTCGTAAGAAAGCAATCAAATATTCAAAGAAAACCATGGCATTAAGAAATAGATAATATACTGAAATTTTAGCATTCAAGTTCTCTGACAAAGTTCCAAGATAGGTAAATAAAAACGGCATACCTTTTCTAGTAAACCGATCGATCCCAATCTGAAAAATCAACAACACACATATTTTTACCCAAAAATAAACTAAAAAAAGCAATTTTACCAATATCTTAGACAAACAGACCATCACATTGATGATTTCTCCGAATTGAGAATAGGCGGTGGTCCAGAATCAGCAGAAGAAGCCATGGGATTTCTTTGAAGACCGTCACTGCTGCAGGGAAAGCCAGGAAACCGAGGGAAAGCCAGGAAACCGAGACCCTTTAACGGTGATAGGGTGACGGCCAATCTTCTTCCCGTTCATCTCCTCGATAGCTTCTCTTGCCGATGTCTCATTGTCAAACACGACGGCACCAGTATTCTCTCCGGTACGAGGATTGATCACAATCTGAAAAAATCAATACCACCACCACAAAAATCAATAAAAAAACTAACAAAGCAATTGACCAGCGACATCTTAGATAGACAAACAGACCGTCAAACTGACGATTTCTCCAAACTTAGAAAAGGCACGTCGAAGGGACTCATCGGTTGTGCCCAACGCCAAACCATAGACGAGACATCCAAGTCGTCCTAAATAAGCAGAAGAAGAAGCCATGGGATCGATTTGAATACCGTCGCCGCTGAAGGGAAAGCTAGGAAACCGAGACCCTTTAACAGTGATAAGGCGACGGCCAATCTTCTTCCCGTTCATCTCCTCGATAGCTTCTCTCGCCGATGTCTCATTGTCAAACACGACGGCACCAGTATTCTCTCCTGTACGAGAATTGATCGCAATCTGAAAAAATCAACAACACCACCACAAAAATCAATAATAAAAAAACATAAAAAACAATAGACCAGCGGCATCTTAGACAGATAAACATAAACAGACCGTCAAACTGACGATTTCTCCAAACTTAGAAAAGGCGCGTCGGAGGGATTCATCGGTCGTGGCCAACGCCAAACCATGGACGACACATCCAAGTCGTCCAAAAAACGAAGAAGAAGAAGCCATCGGATCGATTTGAAGACCGTCACCGCAGCAGCGGGGTAAGCCAGGAAACCGAGACTCTTTAACGGTGATACGGTGACCGCCAATCTTCTTCCTGTTCATCCCCACAACAGCTTCTCTCACAGATCCATCATCCTCAAACAACACGGTACCAATATTCTCTCCAGTACGAGGATTGATCCCAATCTGAAACCACCACAATAAACAATAAACAATAAATAAATAAATAAAAACTAAAAAGCAATTTAGACAAACAGACCATGACACTGTTGTCCCGTGCATCGCACGTGTACAATTACTAGTATAAAATAATTTAACATGTATTTAAATTGTGGGTTTTGGGGATTTCTTCGACCCTACACCGGTGATAAACACTGGATGGATCTTCTACTGCCATGTGAATTTTTTTGTATTTCATAATATATTCCCCCATTTGGGTTAACCTATAGGGGTTTTAGAAAAATACAAAAAACGACTCGTGACAGCAGAAGACACACCCAGTATTTATCATCGGGTGTAGGGTCGAAAGAGTCGGTTTTGGGCGTGTTTATTTTTTCTTATTACAATTATTCTCGTATTTGATATTTATTGGATTTTATTAAAATAATAAGACACACAAAAAAAACCATGTTCCAAATGATTTTATGTACAAGAAAACATAATTCCTTATTTAAAAAAAATAAAGAAAAAAGAACGAATAGGACAAAAGTTGGTGTGCCTATCTATATATATAGAAGTTACATGCACTTAAAATTCTTAACTAGAGTAGTTCAGAAATTTTAAACTTAAAATAGCTACAAATTAGGGAAACATAATCAAACATTTTTTTTTTATTAAAATGTCCATGTGTCAATAAATGAGTGGAATCCGTTTTTCTTATTTAAATAGGGGATTCGTTCCAAATTTGCTCCCTTTTTTATTCATTTGTTTACCTGTATTTTTTACTAAAAAATGCACCTAAAATATATAATATGGTGGGCCGAAGAGGTCCGTATAGTTTGGGGGTTTTGGGCCGAACCTAAATAGTTTTGAAGATGAATTGATATTTGCCTAAATCCTAGCCCTATTCTCATTTCTCACAAACACAAACACAAACTTAAACACAAACACAAACGTCGCTGTTCCTATTATAATTTCTCGCAAACGCCGCTGCACTGCTCATTTTTCACCTGCTCATTCTCCACTGCTAGTTTCTACGCCGTCTTCCCACGCCGCGTCATTACGCCATTGTTCCTATTATCATTTCTCACAAACGCTGCTACATTACTCCGTTTTTCACATGCTCATTCTCCCCTGCTAGTTTCCACGCCGTTTTTCCGCCTCTGCACGCCGCTGTTCCTATTATCATTTCTTACAAACGCCGCTGCACTGCTCCTTTTTCACCTGCTCATTCTCCCATGCTAGTTTCCACGCCGTCTTCCCACACCGCCTCTGTAGCCGCTGTTCCTATTATCATTTCTCACAAATGCCGCTGCACTGCTCCTTTTTCACCTGCTCATTCTCCCATGCTAGTTTCCACGCCGCCTCTGTAGCCGCTGTTCCTATTATCATTTCTCACAAACGCCGCTGCAGTGCTCCTTTTTCACCTGCTCATTCTCCCCTGCTAGTTTCCACGCCGTCTTTCCGCGCCGCTGTTCCTGTTATCATTTCTCACAAACGTCGTTGCACTGCTCCTTTTTCCACATGCTCATTCTCCCCTGCTAGTTTCCACGCCGTCTTCCCACGACGCCTCAGTACGCCGTTGTTCCTATTATCATTTCTCACAAACGCCGCTGCACTGCTCTGTTTTTCACCTGCTCATTCTCCCCTACTAGTTTCCACGCCGTCTTCCCACGCCGCCTCTGTACGCCGCTGTTCCTATTATCATTTCTCACAAACGCCGCTGCACTGCTCCGTTTTTCACCTGCTCATTCTCCTCTGCTAGTTTCCACGCCATCTTCCCACGCCGCTGTTCCTATTATCATTTCTCACAAACGCCGCTGCACTGCTCCGTTTTTCACCTGCTCATTCTCCCCTGCTAGTTTCCACGCCGTCTTCCCACGCTCCCTCTGTACGCCGATGTTCCTATTATCATTTCTCACAAACGCCGCTGCACTGCTCCGTTTTTCACCTGCTCATTCTCCCATGCTAGTTTCCACGCCGTCTTCCCACGCCGCCTCTGTACGCCGCCTCCGATTCACGCCGACTTCACTCCTTCCACCTTTCAACATGAATCAACAACCACAACCACTAGTTCCTGCTCTACTAGGAATCATTTATGAAAACCATATTCTCGGTATCTCAGTGCGGCTGTCGGCCGTTGAAGAGATATTTGGCGTCCCAAACGACGATCAAATATTGTTGGAGCACCAGCGGATAGTTGCTCTAGATCGAGCGCCATATACTAGTGGCAATACATTTTTTAACAACGCCGAGTACGTAGTTGCCGCGAGAAGGTAAATATTGTTAAATTAATTATTTATTAGATAATTAATATTTATAATTATTTGTATTAGATTATAAAATATTAGATAATTAATATTTGTTAAATATTCATCTTTTTCCAACAAGTATCACATATTTATATTAGATAATTAATATTTATTTTAGTAGAATTAAAGTATAATCCCTTAGTTCTCTCGTTCTGGAGTCTTTGATGATGGGTTTGTGTTGGTTCTTGACTGGTATTGTTAAAATATTAGTTAAATTATCTATATTAGATAATTAATTTATAGTAGATAATTAATATTTATTTAATAAAATTTAAATAGTATTCCTTTACAATATAATTAAATTATTTATTAGATAATTAATATTTTTTTAATATTCCTCTTTTTCCAGTAGTAATTGGTTATTATATTAAATAATTAATATTTATTTAGTAAAATTAAAATAGTATCACTTATTTGGTTCTCTATCTACGATGACATTCTGGACAATATTATTATTAGTTCTCTATCTAAGATGACATTTTGAAAAAAAATTTGTTAAAGTATTAGATTAATTATTTATATTAGATAATTAATATTTGTTTAATATTCTTCTTTATCCAACAGGTATCACTTGATTATGTCAGCTGCGGTGGGTGGAGGTAGACACGGCCACGGGCCGGTTTTGGGCCCGGAACCGACCTGAATCGGCCCGTTAACGAACTGGCCCAACCCGTTGACCGGTGAACCGGCCGTTATTTGTTTTTTTTTTGAATTTTTTCCCCCCAATTTTTCATATAAATACCCTCACACCCCAACCCAATTCGAAATTTTTAAAATTTTGAATTTAAAATTAAGTTCAAGTGTTTTCATTTATTTCCTTTTCCTTTTTTCTATTTAAAATTACTTCTTTAATTTATTTATTCATCAAGTATTTACAAATAAAAAAAATCAAAATTTCCGGGCCGACCCGTGAACCGACCCGGATAGGACCGGAACCGGATTGAACCGGCAGGCCGACCCGGCCCGCCGAACCGTGCATATTACGGGCCGGTTCCGGTTCCGGAAAAATTGAACCGTGAACCGGTATGAACCGACCCGAACCGGCCCATGGCCGTGTCTACGTGAACCGCCGGGCCGGGCCGGCGGTTCATTCGGATTTCAAAAAAAAAAAATCAAAAAAATTCAAAATAAAAAGCAAATAATGGCTAGTGAACCGGCCGTTATTTGTTTTTTTTTTTAGTTTTTTCCCCCCAATTTTTCCTATAAATACCTTCACACCCCAACCCAATTCGAAATTTTTAAAATTTTGAATTTAAAATTAAGTTCAAGTCTTTTCATTTATTTCCTTTTCTTTTTTTTTATTTAAAATTACTTCTTTAATTTATTTATTCATCAAGTATTTAAAAAAAAAAAATCAAATTTTCCGGGCCGACCCGTGAACCGGTCCGGATAGGCCGGGAACCAAATTGAACCGGCGGACCGGGTCGGCCCGCCGAACCATTAATATTACGGGCCGGTTCCGGTTGCGGAAAAATTGAACCGTGAACCGGTATGAACTGGCCCGAACCGGCCCATGGCCGTGTCTGGGCGGAGGGGGAGGAGGGGTAGCAGACATCACAAATCTCGCTAGGACCAGGGCTGCAAATGCAAGACGATTGAATGCGATGTATGATTTCTGGCTCCCAAGAGCAAGAAGTTATCCACTTGTCCCGATAGTAAAAGAGCTACCGGGACACCCACTCTTCAATCCCCCGGTGGTTTTGAATGTTGTTTTCAACGACAATTACAATATTAATGACAATCCGCCTGAAAATTTGATCCCTGAAAATTTTGATGCTCTTCAAGCATTGATGAGTGATCAATTAGTGTTAGCTAGGAATCGTCTTAGAGCCATTTATTGGTTCTATAACGATCCTAGGCTTGTGATAGGCCATCAAGCGAATCGTATTCAACGCGGTTTGGTATTGAGTGCGTTGAAGAAATTTCTCTTATATTAGTAACTAGTTAGTCCTTTCTAATCTAATTTTAAATGTAATCAATTATAATTTGTAAGATGATTTTAATCTAATTTCTAAATGAAATCAATTATATTTTGTAAGATTTTAATCTAATTCCTTAATGCCCTTAATCATTAGGGTGCCATTCGGTTACTTCATAACATTGTATGGATTAGTAAAATATGGATGGTATCTCGTTCATAACACTTTATGGATTAGTAAAATATGGATGGTATCTCGGGTTGGGTTGGTTGGATATGAATATGTGAGGAGGATTGGGTGAGATAATTCGGTTAATTACATGGCCATGGGCCACTTTGGACCGGTTCTGGTCCGGTTCATACCGGTTCACGGTTCAATTTTTCCGGAACCGGAACCGGCCCGTAATATGCACGGTTCGACGGGCCGGGTCGGCCCGCCGGTTCAATCCGGTTCTGGACCTATCCGGGCCGGTTCACGGGTCGGCCCGGAAAATTTGATTTTCTTTTTTTTATTATTTTTTTTATTTTTTATTTTAAATACTTGATGAATAAATAAATTAAAGAAGTAATTTTAAATAGAAAAAGGTAAAAGAAGTAAATGAAAAGACTTGAACTTAATTTAAAATTTAAAATTTTAAGAATTTCGAATTAGGTTGGGGTGTGAAGGTATTTATAGGAAAAATTGAGAGGGGGGGGTGTGTTCAAAAAAAAGCAAATAACGGGCGGTTCACTAGCCGTTATTTGCTTTTTTTTTTGAATTTTTTTCAATTTTTTTTTTATTTTAAATCCGGGTGAACCGCCGAGCCGGCCCGGCGGTTCACGGTTCATCGATTCATGAAACCGGGCCCGTCCTGGGGACGACGGGCCGGTTCACGGGTCACGGGCCGGTTCACCGGTCAACGGGTTGGGCCGGTTCGTCAACGGACCAGTTCGGGCCGGTTCCGTGCCCAAAATCGGCCTGTGGCCGTGTCTAGGGAGGATTTGGTGGGATAATTTGGTTAATTACATTACAACCCCTTGAAAGGCCTTTTTATTATTATACTAGTACTACACCCATGCTATAAATATTTAAATACGTCATCAATAAAATATTAATAAAACAATATATAATAAAATTATTAGTAAAATTAAATTAACAAAAGGTTATATGAACTTAAATCGTCATGATATAAATTGACCGTTAAAGAAATGAAGTATATTAAATAAAGCAAAAAATTAATAAAGTGCTATACATGTATTCTACAATTCCAACAATTGACGACACCATTATTTAGTTCTTTAACCAAACTAATTAAAAATACGTATACAAATACTGAAAAATGCATTTCATTTAAATGCATTTTGTAGTAACATAAAATTACTTAAATACGAACATTCATAAACCAATGTTTATACTTGTATACACGTAGTCCTAATCATGAGATACAACAATTACAAACTACAAACTCTTTAATCTGTTGGTAGCGTGTTATTCAGTAATGAAAAGTACAACCTCCTTGTATAACTTATAATCAGCTAGTATCATGTTTATGAAAATAAAATATAACATCAACATGGTCTTATGAGTAAAAATATTTTATAAGCTTATTATTTAAACATTTTTTAAATTAATCGAAAATAAGAACTCCATAAACACGTGTAACATCAGAAATTCATACCCAAACAAACTTGATATTTACTATTGCTTTTGTATGTTCAATCGCCAGACAATTGAAATGAAGATAACCTGCAGTTTAAGAAGGAACGAAGATGATATGATTTAAGGCATGTTAGATTTTGTATATATATGGTTGATTATTATATTTAAATTACGGTGGTGAATTGAGAGTTTAAGTCGGTGGAAATAGCACATACTCTTAATTTATTACATTTAGTGTTGTTGAATTTGTAAATCTAAATTATATTTTTTAACTGTTAGAATTAAATTGGGGAAAATCATATAAATCAAAAAAAATGCGTGTCCATATATTTGTCTTCAAATTGAAAAAAAAATAGAGAGATTTATTTAGAGTAAAGAGTTTTTTTGGCTGTTTTTGTGGATTAAAAACACAACAAATGGTGGAAAATTTGACATAGGAAAGCTTCACAAATTCTAAAAAAAAAGGCGTCTATGGTAGATAATAGTCTGAGTTTTGCTCAAATTTTAATAAACTCGTGTTTTGATAATTAATAATGTTGTATTCTGGCAACATAAAAGTTTAAAAGAAAAAGATGTGTTGGTGCTAAGTTTTAATTTATTAAATAAACCCGAAACTCGAAAATCCAAAAACCCAAAAAACCCTTACATTTACTAAAAAAACACATCCCGCGTTTATCAAGTCCATTTATTAAAACATAGACATATTCTTAGTTTTTTTTTTTTAAGGAACGGCTTCCAATTCTAAGGTGTTTTGGCTAAACGCTAAATCTTGTGCAACAGCTATCAAACCACGAAAAATATAAACCACATCCATACAATTTTACATACATCCACATTTATACGAGTCTGATTGTGTCTACATTAAAGATAGAAAAAAGTACTATGTATATATGTTATTGATGTAGCATAAACACTATGTATACAAAATTTCAAAATTTGGACTTATGCACACAATTATTCAAAAAGCAGCATTTAATTTGAACACATCCCATCTCTCTCTCTTTAATCCAATACTTAGTATAAATAAGGCACTTACCCACTATACAACACTGCAAATCAAAAGAAAAAAAAAATTAGAAGAATAAAAATATGAAAACTAATTACTTATTTGGGTTTGTGATGCTCTTGCTCATTGTTTTGGCCTCTCGTGAGTAATAAAATAATTACCTTCTTTAATTAAATATTTTTTCCTTATTCAAGATTTTATTTCTAATTGTAAAAAGTAATGGTTGTGATTTTGCAGAGGAAGCCATGGGTAAGAAGAATAGGATATGTGAATCGAAGAGTACATCTTTCAAAGGAATTTGCGTGCTCGACGAAACTTGCAGGCTGGCTTGTTTAAATGAAGGTTTCTCCGATGGAGACTGTGAAGGTTTACGACGTCGTTGTTTGTGTAGAAAACCATGCAAATGAAGATGAAATCAATTATGCATTAGTTATGTGTAGAACCAAATCTCACAACTAAAAATAAATAAATGAATGAATAAATGAAAGTCTACTTCATGTGTGTGTTTTCTTCTAAATCTGCTTGTGCGTGAATTACAAAGTATATATTTTATCTCAAGTTGAAATCGCAAATGCACACAAGAATTACGTACGCGGGTTCGAGTTATGAAAGTTTGTAGAGTCGATTTCCCTAATTTTTCCCTATGGTGAATTAGGGAATCCCTCTCTCGTGTGTTATTACAATCTACACATAAATGATGACATCTCCGACGAAAATAATGGTTTTAAGGGAGCATTAAAACAAGTTCTTAAAGTCTAAGGTTAGAAGATTCTCTCAAATTCGATAACCAAAAATGATGTTTTCCTAAGGAATTCTCTCTCTCAAGGCCTTTCTGAGAATTCGGGGGCCTTAGGGCGAGATTTAAAGAATAACTCAAAACGGCCCCCTATTTGAAAAACATAGTTTGTTTATAAAGGGGTACGAAATTGAATATACTAAAAGAAAGTAAATAACATTTCATAAAAGTGATGGATTAAAAGATTACGGCCTACGGGGGTTTGGGGGCAGTGCCCCAATTTATTTTGAAATGTATGAATATAAAATAATTAAAAATATGGAAAATTTTCAATATTAACCAAATGATTTGGTGGTTCACTTCCTACCGTGACATAATATTATTAGCAAATAGACTTCATAAATATTTTATAAAAAGAAACTTGAATAAACCAATGAATATTGATTCAATTGTTTATAAATAAAAATAGTAATTAAGACATTATAAATTTATTCAAATTTTTATGAATAAAAATAAGTATTTAAGACATTATAAATTTGTTATTTAGGGGCCCCAAGGTTAAGAAAATTGTAAAAATCTACTTGATCATTAATTTTAAATTTATTTTATATATATTTTAGAATTGATGTTCCAAATATTATATATAATAAATTTTAAAACGCTGCTGCTATATGCAATACTCATTCCACTTGTTCAAGACCAAATTAAAGAAAGATTTCAAAAGATTCTATTTTATTAAGATGAAATGACAAATATACCCATAAGTTAATTTGCCCTTTTTTTCTCATACAAGACCAAAAATAATGAGGAAAAAAAAAACAAAAAAAAAACCAAAAAGAAAAAACCAAAAAAAAAAAAAGAAAAACAAAAAAACAAAAAAAAAAAAAAAACTTTGCGTGAATTGAAACAACACCCTCCTTCAAACCCTACCCACCCACCTTCTCCGCCGTTAAATTCCGCCGCCCAAGCTCCGTCGCCTAAGCTCCGCCGGCCAAGCTCCACCACCGATCGCCGTCGCCGCCAGCCCCGCCGCTCACAATCATGAGTGATCCAAACCTGCCCAGCAACGCCGCCGAAAAGAGGAAAAACAAATTAAATTTGAAACTGGTAAAAATCGACACCAAGGTGTCGAAAAGTTACGCTACAAATCGACACTTAAGCGTCGAATTTTATAAGCAGAAATCGACATTGACATGTCGAATTTATAGCACAAATTCGACATGTCCAAATGTCGAATTTTATAGCTCAAAATCGACATCTAGATGTCGATTTTTACCCATAAAATTCGACCTGTACATGTTGAATTCGTTTGCGCGGGATTTTTTTTGGAAAAACGATATTTTAGCTTGAAAACCCATAAATGCATACCTGTTTGGGTTCTTCCACCGTAGAATCTTCTATTTTGATGTCTTTTGACTCCATACTTTCCATCTTTGTAAGATTTGTTGAGTTTTGATGATTTTGAATGTTTAGGTTTTGTGGGTTTATGGAAGAGGAAGGAGAAAGGTCTTGTGGTTTTTGGAAGATGGAGAAGATGAAAGTTGGTCTTGTGGTTTTGTGGTCTTGTGATAGGGTTTTTTGTGTTTTTGAATTTTTGGTCTTGCACATTTTGATTTTTTTATTTTTTTAACAAGTAAGGGTATTATAGTATTTATATATTGAAAATTTTAATTTGGTCTTGCACAAGTGGGTTTAGTCTTGCATATAGCCGCAGCCATTTTAAAAATAAGTACTTATATATAAAGTGTATATAAAAATATTTGGGGTCCTAAATTTTCGTAAAAATTAGGGGGCTCTAGGCGACCGCCTACTCGCCTCTCCTCAGAACCGGCCCTACTCTCTCTCTCTCATTGAATACTTCTTCATTTTAGAGCGGATTTAGCTTCACAAAAGAAAAGCGAAAAAACAAAAAAAAAATGGATAATAATGAAAAGGGCAAGTCATACGAAAAAATTCTTTTTATTTAAATAATTACAACCAACACCCCCGGCCCTCAGCTACTTTTTACCATTGGTGATCTGATATACTCTTGCTCTTTGCTTTGGCCTCTTGTAAGTAGTAACAAATAATTCACTTTAGGGGTGAGCATAAAAACCGAGAAACCGAAAAACCGAACCGAAAACCGAAAAAACCGAGCCGATATACACCGTCCCGACTTAAAACCGCATACACGGTAAATATTTTTTGAAAAACCGAAAAAATCGGTATGTGTATGGAGAAAAAAAAATTTGCCGAACCGATTTACCGAACCGAACCGATTTGGGAATACAAAACTACGTCGTTTGATAGATAGTAAAAATCGGTAAGTTTTTTTGGTAATCAATGTGGCCACATTCATACTTATTCTTTTGATGTAGTTGGACTTCTTTTGTGATTGGGCAACAAGTTTATTTTTTTTAAGATGACATTAATGACATCATGTTTATTAGTTAATCTCATTACGTTTTTTTATGGCAGCAAAGTTTTTTTTTTAATGGCAGTAAATTTGTTTTATTAGTTAATTTTGGATTGTTACTTGTTAATTTTCTCAAAGAAATGTGATAGAAGTCCAAATTCACCGTTAATCAAACATCGGTTTTATACCGAACCGATTCGAACCGATAACAAAACCGAAAGTGAAAATAAACCGAATTAATACCGATACCGTTTACCGAAAACCGGAAAACCGATTAGTACCGAACCGAAAAAAACCGACATACACGGTTTTAAAATATGAAAAACCGATATTATCGGTACGTGTTTGGTTTATTGCAAAAACCGAACCGTACCGACCCATGCACACCCCTAATTCACTTTTACCACCTTTTAATTTAATTCCCTTTATTCAGTTATGTTTTTCCGATTGTTTATAACGAGCGAACGATTGTACAGCCAACGCAAAAAAGATTTATTTCTCTCATTCATTTTTTTTTTTTTTTGTTCTTTGTTTCTCATTCCGCACACACAGAACTAGTGGGAAGAGTATAAGTAGTAAAACAACTTTATCATGAAAATAATGTCAATTAAACTCAGAAGCAATTAATTCAGTCTTCATGCATCAATGTCAAACGCTCTAAACCTATTTGCCAATATACACGTAATTGATTAAAATATTATAGTATAACCTATTACAAGAATTATAAGTACTATACAATGTTCAAATGGTGTGAAACTCCAATAATATCTCATCTCTATGCTTTTTTTTTTTCTTTTTATCCAAATGAGAATAGGGGGAAGAAAAATAATAAAAATTAAATTAAAAAAAAAAAAAAAAAGACTGCTTGTTGAGGACCAAAATTAGTAATTGAAGCGGGTTCTATCGTTTCACCACAAAAGAAGAGATTTTTTCGCCTGCAAAAGATCACAGAATTTTTTTTTTTTTTTTACTGCAAACGACAATAAAATTTATCCACATTCGAACATTCAAGAACAATATGAAAAAAAAAAAGTAGAGTAATCCCAATCAAACCGATCGACAATGCAAAAGGAATGCAGTACACAGGGTAATTGCATTTTTTCAAGAAAGTACTGGAAGACGAAAAGAAGAAAAAAATACCTGTGATAAAGCAGAAAGAATCGAATGCAACTATTGCGATGGTTGCGACAATGAGATGCTAGGAGTTGATGCCTCCAGACCTTGTTTGCCTTGTATTGCTGATTTTAGCACATTGTACTGCTCACATACAGATGAATATACTGACTCTGTGTATGCAATTTTTGCCTGCAATACGTATGTTGTACACCTGTGATATAACTCCTCCAGAAACGTATAATTCTTATATATATATATGTGCACCATTTGCATATATTTAAAATACCTACTAGTATAGACTCAATATAATCGTTTTAATAATCAACTTCTTATATCCTATAGAACTACGTGCAAGCTTTTAGATCGAGATAGGCTCTTCTACTAGATCACTCCATTACGGTCCCAGATTTTGCATATTTTATTAACTTAATATTCATTCCTCAATAAAAAAAAAAAAAAAAAACCAAATTCAGTATTAAGGAAATTAAGCACGATTGTCTAATTACGGACTTTTTTGGAGACTCCATGCTAAAAGTAGATTTTGGTAGAGGAGGCGACAGAAACCCTCAGAAAAAAACATCCTGAAATATATGAAATGTGTAAACGTACCGTGTTGAACAAAGCTATGTATGAGTGGCTAGTCTACGTAAAGTTCATAGTCGAAGAAATTCTCAAGGTGTAAAGGTTCCGTTTATAAGCTTAAACTTAGGTTTATCCTTGATGTTCAAACGACAGCACCTAGGCTATGCAATAATATCTCAATCGGTATGTCAAACATGTCAGAATTTTGGACATGTATAAGAGTTGAACTGATTGAGTTGGACCTATAATCTTATTGGCCTCTAGTTAAGAGTATTCTAATCCAAATTAGACCAAAATCCCGATTTATGTTTTCATATGGTTTTAATCAGAAAAAGAATGACAGATAACCAACACGTTGAGAGGTAACCTTCTCAGGATCTTTCAAATCTGAAGCAATTTCGTGATAATTGATACTGGGTGCGGCTGATAATCCAACTCCGTGAAAGGAAATTACTCTTTTCTCCCCAATGTCTTTCTCAACCTAACAAACAAACTTTTGTTAGATGCGGATAAGTAAAGAAATTACGGGTTGATAAATGATAAATTCATATTTTACCTGGGCTGGAGGGGGCATAATTTCATGGCACATCATTGCCAAGGGGTATATATGTCCAGGAATCCCAGCATGTTCCACAAGCCTTCTCATGTTGTCCACTGAGGATGCATCAAACGGCGCCTGTACATCTTAATGTCAGTATGAATAGGTCAAAACTAAGACTAAGAAAAAACGGGAGTTGGCCAAATGCTAGGCAGCAGACAGGAAAGAACAAGTTTAATTGTCGGATTGTTTGATAATCATTAATGTAGTACAAAAATTGAGGTTACAATACTCCAACAAAGAAATATTATAATGCAGAAATGGCAAAATACCAGCGAAAAGGAAACACGAGATCCTGATTTGACAAGATAAAATCAATGAAATACCATTGACATCCATCGTTTACGTAACTTTATTTTCATAGACATAAAATTATATGAGCAGACTAAGTAAATATGGAAGAACACATACTGGATACCATTCGTTTGTAGCAAGATCTGGGCGGTCCCTTCCACCACTTGGGGCAATCCAAATAATTTTTGATCCACCCCTTTAACAATGAAAGTAAACAATGAATCTTTTCCAGAAAAACTAAAAGCATCAGTAATATGGAAGATAGAATAAATTTTGTAACAATTAAAATTGATAAGTTATTGATGTATCACTGATTTTATATGATTTGGTATTTGAGTAGTTTCCTCCATTTATCATTATTCTCAGTCTAATTCACATACAAAATAAATGGTTGCGGTAGTACGAGGTAACAGTATAAGGCCGTGTTTAGTTGCCAAGATAAGATTGGCCAAGATAAGATTAAATAATCTAATGAAAACCCAATTATTTTATCGGACCCCGGAACATCCAACAAAAATGCTCCCTAAGAGGCAACATAAGCAATGATAACATAATATTTGCGGGTCGACCCGGCAAGTTATTGAGGATACCAAACATCAAACAAAGTCCTATTATTTAGTTAATAATGGCTAATGTCCCCAACCAAACAAGACCTAATTGTTTTGGCCCTTCAGTCATTTTATCTGTGGTTGTAGGCCAAGTGGCTATACTAGTTTATATCTTTTATGTTCTTCTCAGTCAATTTACAGACCCTTTTTTCATCCTCTGCTTTATTGTTTATATTTATCATTTTTCTCCAGCACCTAACACACTTTCACGTTTTCTCATCATAGATTGGCTCAATCCCACTTTCACTCCCAAAATTTAGCGCTTTGGCACTTTAAACCCAAAAAAAAACTAATAGCATATTGTACACTCGTAACAAAAAAATCAGTTGATATGCGCTTCATGAGAATTTCTCGCCATTGACTGGTTTTTGGAAAGTCAGTCGGGGCATTTTGATCTTTTTAGTAGCATTTATCTTCGGGGTACCTAATCTGGAGAATGTGCACTCACTTATTATCTCTTTTTCTAAAACCTATATTTTATTGCATAGAAAATCATTTGTGGGATCTAAGACCCCGGTTACAAAGTCATTGGCCTAGAAACAAACCTCAAAAAGAAAAAGAAAACTAAATTAAGAGTACAGTTGTTGATTCTTGTCTTGAAGTGAAGAGGTGGTGAGGTATCACAACTAGATTACAGAGCAAGACAAAGAACACAATTATCTGAGAGTACATGAACCAGAGTGGACCTAGAGACGGATTACTGAAAATTCATCCAAACGGGACCAAAAATTATATAATACAGCCAGGACAGGATTTTCATGATTTTTATATTACCAAAAGACAATAGGACTCTCATGATTCTTATATAACGAGAAATCTAAAACTATAAAACGCAATAAAAATGTACCTCAAAAGCAGCGACATTTCTTTCAAACTTTTTGTGTTTGCTCTTTTCTTCATATCTAGGAGATCAGGATCATCGCTCATGTGTTTCTTTGAGTAGACACATAAGAGATTCCTGAACAATTCAAAATTCAAAAAGTGGGGTTCACTTCTCAATAAAAAGGCATACATCACTAAATCAAAATATTGAAGAATATTAAACTTAACACCTGCCCATACTAAATGGTTTGCAAAGAGGATCTGTAATCACCCTGTCTCCTGCCACATAGATCTGCAATATGAATACACATATTGGCAAACTGATAGAGTACCCAATGTATATATAAACATCACAGTTGGCGTTTATAGCTAGACCATATTGTAGTTACCAAATTCTCGGCAATAAATGGATTAGTGGATTCAAGCAACAAAGCAATAACAGCTGGATCTGCTTCTGTTTGGTGGTTGGATATCAAAATTACATTCTCACCCTGACAGTTAAGAAAATGACGTACTCTTAGAAACAGATGTCAAATCTTACTAAGGAGAAATAAAGCATAAAAACAAAATATTCGTAAAGCAAATGTGCAGAGAATGAAACAAACAATGAGGTCATCCTATCAGCAAAAGGAGTGAAAGAGAAAAATTACACTCAAAGCTCTCAAATAAATTATCAAGATCGAATCACATCCTCATATTTAGAAGCATTAGTAGATTGAAAAGGGAATGGATAGGCACTCGAGATTAAGGAATTTCTTTTTAAGTACTAGTTCTGCTGAAAAGGCGGGTTCATTAAGGAATCGTGTGAAAATATCAATCTTTGTCCTGATTATTAAGATTTACTTCCTAATTTTATTGTTATTATTTTGTAACAGTATATTTTGTAACCGATAGTAGTTTACTATGAGGATTTGTAGGGTTCTTTGACGTAATCAATTTACTTATCTTACAGATCTCTTCGTGCTATATGAAGAGACCTTTACTATATGCATCGTGCGTCAGATAATAGGAAGAAACAAATAATAGACTTGAGCACTAAAAATGTTTACCTGCTCAAGCTTCTTCTCGATTTCATTGAACACGGAGATATTGCCAACAAATGAATTTCTGAAATGGAAATTAGGTTAAGGTTAGAGGCACACCGTAAATCTATTTGCTCTGTTTACAAATACCTAGAAGCTACATTGCTGAAGGATAAAGGAAATTTCTACAAGGGGATATAAGAAAATCCATGACTAATATTAGTAATGAAGTAATGTATGAAACATAAGACTGTGACGCATTTTTCGAGATCCTCTACAAAAGGCTGCAAGTCATAATCTCTTTCTGGAGCAGACCTTAGGTAAAAACATTTTTTTATAGAGATATGAGAAATGTTTCAAAGTTTGACAACACATTGTTATTTTATATCCTTTAAAAATGTAAAATAGGCTATAGCAACATTAATAGTAATTAACTCATCCGAATTTTTAAAGCCGCTTATTTGCTGATCTTATAACTGACCAAGTACAAGGAGACATCAATAATCAGATTCTTTTATCAAAAATCAGATTTTTTTATTTAATCAAAAATCAGAGTTAAATCTATACATCCATTACAACTTTGACCTTGCAGCTGTAACTGAATCAAACTGACTCTAACCCCCATTTCCACCCCCTCCCACAACCACTCACCCCCACCCCCCCCCCCAGCACGCACTATTCTATGGGACAAACTAATTCTGGTGAGTGAACTCAAAATTCAACCCTAGCTAATGTAAAATTGGTTGCCAGACACATTCAAAATTAAGATTTAGACCAGCACAATCTACATAAGTTGCCACTCAGAATCAGTTCATAAAGATATAGTAACTCCTAAAAAGATAATTGAACCCAGTATAGATAACTAACCTGAAATCCAGCAAAGGACGGATATACTTCTGACCGAACATGTAATAGTCAAAAGGTTCTCGAATGGCCTTGTGATATGGTGAGAATTGAAACGGGTCCTAGAAAAATTTGTTTCACATTAAAGGAAAAACCAAAGAGTTTGAAACCAAAGCTCGGAATTAGATAACCACACAAATGTGAAAAATTGAGATGATAAAAATAGCTGAGTAACTACCAGCACATCCAAGAAAACACGGTCTAATACATCAGCCATATTAGACAAAACAATCTCATCGGCTTTGGGATGTCCACTTCGGAGAACCTGGATGTTGAGAATACAATGAAATGTACAAAATGATTCAGGATCCCAGAAAACATGCACAAAATGGCAAGAGAAAAAACAATGATCTTAATTCTCGCATGAAGAGGACATACTACCCAAGGAATTAGAGAAAAAATTGGGAGTCTATAAGCATGTGCTGAACATGAACACAAAACTGGAACTAACAAAACCCTGAGAGGAAGTCGAAAAATCCAACTAGAAAATAGTGTTAAATCAAAGGTAGTATACCTCACAATCATCCAGAGGAAGCCATCATCAAATGTAAAACAGTAAACATAGGTTGTTCCACTATTGTCTTGGTTAGCTTCTAAAAGACAAGTCATCACTAACACTTACTCGACCAACATTTCCAATTTAGATTTGAACAGTCCCTTAACAATCATATCAGCCACTACTAACAGAATCCTAATGTGTACTTATAGAAGCAGGTGTAATCACAGATATAACTATGCGGTGGCCTGTGCTTACAAAAAAAAAAAAAGGCGCTGTCAATTAACAAATCAAGTTTCCGCTTTGAAATGGTAAATATAGCAAGCAACAACATTTCACATTCAAACTGAACCTGATGCAAATGGGACTACCACAAACTCAATAAAAATTTATATGTGTCGAATACTAATACTTCTCTTTGGTTGTGATCAAGTGGAAACTCACAAGGGAACCTTGAGTCTATTTTTGGACTCATTTCACCAATATGTAAACATTTGGGATATTTTCAGAAATTTTTTTAGTAAAACATCTTAAAGTTTGAAGTCAAACCTTCTTCCAATGACAAAAGCTTTGATGCACACAGCATCACTCACTATCGCTTCATAATCTTTATATTGCTTATTCACCTTTATTACCCATTAAAAGTGCAATGCACAGTCTCAGAGATAGAGTTCAATAATCATCCGAATTTGCTGCATTAAATATCTCGGTGAAAATAATTTAGCAAGTTTTTGGCTTGTAGGGAGGGAGTTTTCAACATATCTACAACCTTTTCAGGGCACACAGCAAAACTGCAACAACACATACACACACAAATATTATAGTGGAGATCATCAGTGGGATAGGAGTAAGGCAAAGAACTTCGCCAGATTACAGGTACAGTTTAACTTTTTCCACATGCAAAGATGTTAGACAACACAAAGATGCAAAAATGGCATAGTAATTACTCCAGAAATGAGTGAGACCTTCATGCATCCCCAGCCAACGACAGGATTATAAGTTCTCTTTTGTAACAGATCTAATGATATAAATGATATAAACGATATAACTTATGCAATGCACTCAGAACATTTTCACTCTACTTGCCTCAAATGCAAAACTAGAAACCCACAACTGGTGACAGAGTGAGGTGATTGCCTAGTAGCAGAAGATGTCGACATAACGAGGAAAATATTGATTCTTCTCATTAAACAAACTAACAAACTCAAGGAAACCTAATACATCCACTCATAAGAGTTCCCTGTTGTACCAGATTACATCATAGTTGTCAATTGAGACTGGACTACAAGCCTACCTTGTTGACTAGGCAAGAACATATGTTTGAGAGAGATGATTTCCACAACTCTACATATAAGATATCCAAGCTTTATTATGTTAGATAGTTTGATGGACTTTCATGATTAAAGAATCTCTGAGATATGAATTGTAAGACAAGAAACATGTGATTCAAAAATCATGAGAAAATATCAAGACAAACACAACTACAGGTTCATCAATAAAAGGCCCAGTTTTCAGTTAACACTACTTTTAAACAATATTACACCATGAGCAGGATAAGATTATTTTACTGCATTTCGGTAATTGTGATACAACTCCTCCATTCCCTGAGCTACATTTACTGGCAATCTTCCAGCTTCAACTTCTTTCCGTATAACCAAAAGCAGGTCTGAAAAATAAAATTCATGTAAGGGAGAAAGGAAAAATAATACAGATATATTGAAATCCTAAAAAGTATATATACTGACTGGCTAGGAGAAATATTGATGGAATATGTGACACATGAAGATTTGATCGAATCGCAAAGCACACGTTACAGGTTATATGGCATTAAAATCGAAGAAACTACCAACAAACCATTTACATGTGCAGGTTATACTCACATTAAAATGGATGTTAGAATGAAGTGATAATTTACAAAAGACAAAAAAAAAAATCAATTAATGAACACATTAAATTATGAAAACCACTTTGCCCTTCCAATGATTCTTGTTAATAGCTAGGAATATGTTAGACTGTGTGTTTCAATCACCACAACGACAAGACAATATCATCAATAAAGAAGGAGGCTGGTAATTACACTGGAGAAAGTAATGTTGCAATTAGCTCATAATACATCAACTTTCATTGTGTAAACTGTAGAAACTACCCTTAAGGTTTGGCCTATTTTTGTTTTTTTTAATCAAATTATAAATTACCCCTTTACATTTGTTTCAGTTTTAACTTACACCACCTACTGAAGGGGTATTTCAGTTTTAACTTGCACCTACTGAATCTCAAGAATAGTTTTTGCAGTTTACACACATCTCATTAACTTCGCTCTACTCCAACTAAAAACTTGTGTCTGGTATACCGTAGGGCTAAAAAGAACTGGCAACAACTAAAACATAACCCCCCCACACACACACAAGAATGGATGCAATAACTATATAAAACTGTGGCAGATCATTATACCACATGGATGAAGAAAATTAAACAAAGAGGACGCAAGTAATCAATAGGACACATGTTTTATTAAATCATCTTTGCTGAAAGCTATGTATAACCTTTTCAAAACTAAAGCAGATTTAATATGCATAACTGACTTTCCGGAGCATGTTAGTCTATTAATGTTCTTTTCAGATGTCCTGGAAGCAGCAGATAATCATTTACTAGAGAAGGTTATACTCAGGATGGGAGAGATTGGAAGTGATAACATAACAATGTACAAGATGCAGCCATATCTACTCGAATCTATCTCTACTAAACCAATTCGATCCCTCTTTGACTACATTGATCTGCGAGCTGGAAGCGAGAGAACGTATCTTTCTTGACCTCGAGCCTTGATTTGGCAAAAAAAGGAAAGATTGAAAGAAAGAAAAAAAAAAAAAAAGAAAAAAACAGGTTTTGGGGGCATGGAATAATTGAAATGGGCTTCTTGCTAGTTCAGCAGCCTTGTCCAATATAAAGACTTCAGTGTTCTAGCTCTCCTCCACCTTTCCATGTTTCTCCCTATATCAACCTCTAGGCACTTGAGTTCTCATCTTCCTTATGTGACAAACAAAGATAGCAAATAAATTACAGAAACCATAAGATTATATTCGGTCAATCATCAACCTGCTACTAAGGGTATGGCATGTGCTTCTTCAATGTTTTAATTGCTAAATCAGTCCCATTATCAACTTGAGCAGATTATTATTTCTCTTCCAGACACTATTCGGGGAATCTGATAAATCCAAGTAGTCGTGAAACTTTAGCAGCGTGCCGATTAGATTTAGAAATTAAATTAATACCCCCAAACACATCAGCAATTGCTGAAAAATGGAAAATGAAATTGAACTATCCAATACACCTTAATAAACAAATAGTACTCCGTTCTTAAAACTCTCTTGACTAGGAAAGAGAAGGAATTGACCAATAAGAGTCACCAATACAGAAAAATGGCTATAAGATCCAAATTCTATGACCAATAACAAAGGATGATAAAGAGTATAATTTTCCAGATACAGCTACACGAATAAAGTAGATGTATGTTTCTTTTTCCTACATTCAAACATGACATAGCAATAAAGTCGTCGATTTTACACACCAGAGTCTAAGCATTAAACAAAAAATGATGATATCATTTTGAAACATACTTGCTCAAACAATAGAAAAAAAAAACAGTTGAAAGATAATGCAGATACAGAATCAAAATCAGCTGAAATAAGAAACAAAAATGAAAATGAACCTTGCTCAGTGCGCGCATCAAGGAATGTTCGAGGCGGCGATAAGTCGTGCTGATTCGAGGCGGAATTGGAGGCAACCACCGCCGCGGCAGCGGCGACGCTACTCGAGGAACTCTTCTTATCGTCGAGCATCTCCGCCACTCCCCACATATTCGAGGAGCAGAAAAGGGGACTGAAAGTGCGACTCCGCCTCCGAGCGCCGGCGTATCCAGATTTCACGGAGTAGGATACTCTGGGAATAGAATGTGGAGCTGAAACCCTAGGTGCAGTTGAGCAGGTGCAGAGCTTCGTGGAAGAAGGAATAGATAGAATCATTGTAGTTTCATTAGTGTGTGTATGTGTGTGTGCGTGTGCGCGCGTGGGTGTGGGGTTTGTGTGGAGAAAACAATACAAAAGAAAGAAACAGGGTTTAGGTAGTGTTTGGCAAAGGTCTTTATTGTGAATTTCGTCCGTGGAGTTTTCAAGGGAATGCCGTAAGGGTGGAAATTGGAACCGAATTTCCGAATTCCGCCAGTTCCTATCCGAAAATATCCGAATTTGGAATATTTTTTTTCATTCCGATTTCCAATTTTTCCGATTATTTTTGGAACGGAATTGGAATTACATATAAAATTATTGGAAATTCCGATTTCCGATCCGATTGTATTTCCGAAATATATATATATATATATATATATATATATATATATATATATTATTTTTGAATTGTTTTTCTATTCATGTTTTGCAAGAATTATATTTACTTTTTCTTTTTTTGAAAATTTTCAAGAACTATGGCTGCTTTGATAAACCGATTATGTTGTTTTTACAAGTGTTTACATTTCATCTTATTGACCTTTGTTTTGGATTCTTGCCCTTTGCCAGAAAATTATGAAAATATTAACACGAAATACTAAAAATTACTATTATTTCCGATTTTGGAACAAAAAATTAAGAATTAATGCAATTTCCGAAAATTCCGAAATTCCGCCGATTCCGAGGTATTCCGAAATTGGAATAAATTTTGAAATTCCGATTTTTTTGGAACGGAAATTGGAACCTATTTTTCACTTCCGAAAAAAATTGGAAAATTTCCGAAAAAGGCATTTCCAATCCATTCCGTCCGATTTCCACCCCTAGAATGCCGGTTTACACTTTTATCTAGTTTTTACGGAAATGTTAAATCTTACACTAAAATTACTGAATCTCGCACAAAAATTAGTCATTTTCTCTCTCTAAAATTAAAACCATTTAAACAGGGAATTATCATGTTAGGAGACGAGTTTCTATCTTTTTTAACTCAAATATAATACTCCTTGTTCCACAATAACTGTCTCTTTTTTAAAATATTTTTGTTCCATATTGTCAGTCACTTTATACTTCCAATACTGCATTAAATGTATGTTTCCTCTTTTAACCTTATTAATGAAACTCTATTCATTAATTTTCTCTTATAAATCATTTAATAATAAAGGTTGTTTTAGTCATTTTTATATGATTTTTCTAAAATCAAGATATATTTATTGTGTTTCTTAATCTTTGTGAAAAGTGAAAAGTGACAATTATTTAGGAACGGATGGAGTAATTGTTTGTTAGCATTTAATAAATGTTTGATAATGTTGTATAAATATTAATAATTGTTTAATAATGCTTAACAATGTTTAAATTGTGTATTTTGTTATGAATTCTAGAAGGTGTGGATGACCACCATTACTCACCACCATCAAGCACCATCACTCCCACCATTATCACACCATAATACCTATTGATGATCCCATTATGACATTGTAACTCATGACCTTTGAGAGGTCTTCTAGTGCTATATATAGAGCACTATGCAATGTATTTTACACACTTGACGCTATGGAATAATATTCACATATTCTCCCTATTTTGTTCTCTTATTCTTCTATATTCTTTGTTAGTTTTTCAACACGTTATCAGCACGATTGTTCTAAGTAAATTTTCGAGTGAAGATGATCCAAGGAAGATGACTCCTTAGCCATAGAAGATGAAAGGGAGTTGATTTTAAATATTTTATTCTTGTTTTAAATTGATCAAATATTAATCATCTTAATTTTGTTGTAGGTGAATTTTTGCAATTCACGAGTCTGTACTTCGATGTCTGTTTTGGACCTGATAATGTTCGAATTTCAGAAACTGCAAAATACGAAACTTGTAGAATTTTCTGTTGGCTTTTCAGAACATTTTGAATCATCGAAATCGGATCTCGATCAAGAGAGATATGCTAAAAATACTCAGACATGCCAGATCTGTCATTTGTGGTCATTTTTCAAGACTTTGAGTCCCGTTTCGGACCTGATATTGTCCGAATTTGATAAAATGTAAAATACGAAAGTTGTAGAACTTTCTGTTGGCTATTCACAGCATGTTGAAGCGTTGAAATTGGATCTCGAATGAGAGAGATACAAGTAAATTACTCAGACATGACAGATTTGTCATTTGTGGACATTTTTCAAGTCCACAAAATATTGAAATGAGAAAATTGATAATTGATCATAATCAATTTATGGCTTGAAGCCTAGATCACATTTTGAGACTATAAGTCTCAATAGAATATGATAGACTCAAAGTTTATGCGACAATAATACTCAAACTTAAGATTTGAGTTGATATGTATTTCTCATTCATAGTACTTTAAGTCTAAATGATAAGACTCTTGAACAATTGAGTTAGAGGGTATTCCCCATTTATAGTACTATTCGTTCATGATCAATGTATTATAACAATTTTTATTATAAATTGAGGCTTGAAGCCCAAATCGAGCACGTGCAATCAAGTGACTCGAATATTTGAATGTTATATTATAACAATTTTTATTATATATTGAGGCTTGAAGCCCAAATCGAGCACGTGCAATCAAGTGACTCGAAGATTTGAGTGGTATATTAAGAAAAAAAAAACCACTTGCTCTCTAGTTTATGCAACTTGAAAAGCTCCATCAATCGAAAAAGGAACTCGAAGTTCATAAATTTTAGGCTCAAACCCTAGTTTAAATATGAAAGCTTGAAAGCTTATGTGGAGGAATATTAAATATAAAGGCTTGATGCCTAGAATAAATTTGAAGACTAAATGTCTCGTTTGAATATATTAAGACTCAAGGTCTAAGTGATGATATATACTCAAAATTGAATATTTGAGTTAATGAATATTTTCCACTCAAGGTACTATTATTTTACGACTAAGTACCAATTATAAAGGCTTGACGCCTAAATCGAGTACATAAATTCAAGGTATAAAACTCAAACCTTGATATTTGAATAATATATTTTACTCGAAGAACTATTCAATTTGTGGTTCAATGATACATATGTAGATTTGAGTTAATTATAGTACTATTATTTCATGACAAGTACTATATAATGATTTATATGAAGCCTTCAGGCTAAAATCGAGTATATAATTTTAAGCAATAAAACTCAAATCTTGAGATCATATATATATATATGTACTCAAAAGGCTATTCCTTTGTGATTCAATGATATGAGTCATATCAAGCAATTTGAAATTATTTTCGATAGCTCAAGAAGAAACGTAACTATATATGAGTTTTGGATCATTGAAATTGAAGATCTATTTATGTGTCATGAAGGACTAGACAAATATTTCATATGAAAATGCGTCTTAAAGACACAACAAAGTATTATTGTATCTTGAGGATACAAATAAAGTATTGGTAATACGTGTCTCGATGACACAAATTGAATATATGTTGCTATATGTGTTTTGAAGATACACAAAATGGAAATTTGTAAGAGAAAATATTCTCTAATCCATATGACTTGAAATGCTCCATCAATAGCAACATTTTAATTTAAATTATACCCGTGAAGTAGCAACATAAAAACTCAAGTTGCAATCATAATAGCAAAATCAAGAAATTTGCTTGCATATTGTTATATATCGTTGTGAGCTAAAATTGAAATAATGCAAAGCTCGTTTGATTGATGTTATTATTTGACAGTTAAAATAACAAAATGTTTCACGAGATATCTTATATAGATATCATGGTGCTTATTACAATATATATTTATCTCACCATTAGAGGTGAAGAGATGTGAGAAATATTGACAATGATTGGTCATAAATCCATTTTACGATAAAGCATGTTGATAAGCTTTATCAAGCACCAATAGAAAAGCAAAAGAATTTGCGTTGATTTTGGAGTCACGATATTGACCAATTCAATGAAAATTTTTGAATCACAAAAATTTTAGTGATGCAAATTTCACTCCAAATCCATATCTATGGAGGTATGTATATGTATGTTTTTTATACTTGGTCTAGATGAGATGAAATTTCAAACCAAACGAAAAAAGGGGCATCTGATTTTTTTTGTTAAAATTTGAAACTTCTGCATATTCTGATTTCTTAAAATTTACAGTTTACTCCTCAGAATTTTCAAAAAATTCATTTTAGTCCCCTAGATTTGAAAATTTTACAATTTAGTCCATATGTTTTTTCTGAATATGCAGCTCCTACCTTTCATCGTCTGCAATTATGAATCTATTCCAGCATTTTCAGTTTTCACTGAAGTTTTTAAAATTGCAGCCATGTCCCTGAAGTTTTCAAATTTTACAGTTTGGTCCCTAAATTTTCAAATTTTACAGTTTGGTCCCTGAATTTTTTTAAAATTATGAAATTTGGTCATTTGTGTACCGAACCTGTTAGATTCTCAAAAGTAGTTACTCTCATCTAGATAACAACTATATCACATGGTTTATTTATAATTTATGCTATGCAATATTTTGCACCCCTAATGGGAGATATTTCTATGGCATACACTGTCAATTGCCATTTTAATGAGACAATTTTCCCGCCGTTAAGGGGGAGATAAGAAGCCGGTTCTTGTATAACGGCGTGAATTATATGAAATGATCTTTGTCTCATTCACATTTGTGCATGAAAATATTTAAGCACAAAAGAAAAAAGAAATCATTTGCAACAATTTAAATGTGTAAAATGCTAGATGCATTTATCTACAAATAGCAACTTGATATTATAATATATGTTGCAAATGAGTGCAAGAGAAAATGTCTAAGAATGACACATTGCACATTAGATTTTGCCATGAAAGGCTTAATAAACGAATGTCCTCGAAGGACAAATTTCACATTGTGATTGCATCGTGAATCCCTAAATGGGTGAAAAATGATTATGGTACACAACTAACCAATCTTAATTTATGCATATAAGAGGGGGAGATATATATGTTGGTTCGAATGATTAACACACTTATAAGTGGTGTGAATACCGTTCAATTAAAGTCTACTAGCGCTAGTAGCATCATACTCTCATCATATTACTTATCTCATTCATGAAAGGATTCGTCTTAAAGACGATGTTGGGGGACGCCTCAACACCAATATCCATTACTATGATATGAGAATACTTGCCAGTTATGGTGGCATAAATGAAATTCATATTTGGATGAGAAAATCATTGATGATTACATGGTAGCTACCGAGATCATTATAAATCGAACCATTATGTGCCAATAAAGAATTGATTGGCAAATAAATCATGGTTAGCTTGCTCTCTAGGTGAATAGAGAGGCATTTGAGACTATTAGTTCTCAATTTTGTTGTTGTACCGATATACTATCTTAAAGAATTGAAAATTCTTTCGAATGAATATTCATGTACCAAATTGAATTTGATAATATTGAGTTTGAAAATAAATTGGACAAGTTGTCCTCAATACTCCCTCCACACTGTGAAACTCAAAAGCGCGCGTTTTGTCCATGAATGACATTCTTATTGAAATAAATAATGAGCTCACGCACATAAAGTATTATGAAAAACTTTATTGATGCAATATAGAAAATTCTCTATAAGAGAAAAATACATGGTACATGAAAAGATATGGATCTCAAGAAGAGATTGTACCCACAAAGGCTACAATCCCCATTTATATGAATATAATTCTCTAAGGAGAATCCGGTACCGGAAAGTGAAATAGTGAGCTCTTGATTGATTATAAAGAAATATGGGGAGTACTAAAAGTTATCGAATAACTATACGTACAATTATTTTTATAATGTGAAGAGCTTGAAGCTCGTACATTTTAATAGATGTCGACATCTAATTGGTCATTAGTATATGCATTCACAAATGCAATTGACCATGATTATTGATGAAATGAATTGTACATTGACTTGCGGTCATCACACATAAAGTTGTGAAAGCCTTTAGTACAAAAGTGGGTAAAATCATTGCGGTAAATTTGAATGACTTTGAAAATATATTTTTATGATGCAATCACTTTACGATGGTATTAAAAATACTTGACATGCATCATATGGATGCAATTACCGCATATCTGGATCATAAAATTAATGAAGACTTGATAATGCTTTGTGCATATAATAGGAGGTCTCATGAGTTAGACTCTACGAATGATCCATTTACATATTCAAGAATATGGTATTGTCACCTTAGTGAATACCTTGTTTACAAAAGGAATAATCAAATAAATTTATTTCCATTATCATTTGAGGCGACTTAAATTTTGTGGAGTCTCTCATATCTCATGTCGAAATCAGGGGGAGCGTGATCAACAATGGCAACACTGTACTCTTTTTCCTTCGTCCAAGTTTTTGTCCCATAGGGTTTTTCTTGGCAAGGTTTTAATGAGGCAGTGTTACGCTCTCAAGATTTAAATGAATATGTACTCTTTTCTCCTTCGTTTAGGTTTTGTCCCATTGGGTTTTCCTAACAAGGTTTTTAACGAGGCATACTTCATATATGGTGGACATCCAAGGGGGAGTGTTATGAATTCTAGAAGGTGTGGATGACCACCATTACTCACCACCATCAAGCACCATCACTCCCACCATTATCACACCATAATACCTATTGATGATCCCATTATGACATTGTAACTCATGACCTTTGAGAGGTCTTCTAGTGCTATATATAGAGCACTATGCAATGTATTTTACACACTTGACGCTATGGAATAATATTCACATATTCTCCCTATTTTGTTCTCTTATTCTTCTATATTCTTTGTTAGTTTTTCAACATATTTAAAATTAATTAATAATTCTTTAAAAAATTAATAAACGTTTAATAATTATTTGAATATTGCTAATAATTTAAATTGTGTATTTAAAATTAATTAATAATTGTTGATATATTATTATTTAATGTTGTTGTAGACAAGGCAACAACAGATTGAAGATTGGGTTTCCAGCATATTACAGTACCATACAGTGTGAATATGAAACCAATTAAATACTTCCTTGTGAGTTAAATCAGGTTTACACATATACTTACTCACACAACACTTACATATGACAAATCAATCTTTGAACAAATTGATGAGTTCAACAAGATTATTGATGATCTAGAGAGCAAAAGGCTAACTAATTTAAAAAGTAAACTTCCTACCGTATAAAAAATTGTCATAACCGGACAAATATGAACGAGACTTGATCTGCAATTTTGGCACGATGTAGGTCGCTCTCTGAATAATATATATATATATATATATATATATATATATATATATATATATATATATATATATATATATATATATATATATATATATATATATATATATATATTTATTTATTTATTTATGTATTTTTGACAACCATTCTTGAGTAGCCGATGGAAATTGCAAATGCACCAAAAAAATCAACTTTACAGAGAATTTAGATGGTGTTTGCAAAAACTTATTTACATGTTGAATTAAAAATTGACCTATTTCGTGAGGAACATAAGTGAACGCGGACTGTGGCGGAGCCACCCTTTGGCAAGGGTGGGCTCCAGCCCACTGTGAATTTCTAAAAATTTCTACTACATATTATAGCTATATGTAAATAATCCACTCAAATAATTTAATTTAGCCCATTCAAGTAATTTATTTTAGTCCACCCACCAAAAAAATTATGTGTTATTAGTAAAGCTTATAAATTTGTAGTTATTTTGTGCTATTTTATGTGAATGAATTAAAAAAAGTTCTCGGGCGCTGCCCCGAACCCCGTAAATATTAAGCCAACCCTATCAGAAATTTTTGGCTCTGCTACTGAACGCATATACTGCACATGCAAAGAAAAACAAATTATGAGCCAAAAAAGAGTAAGAAAAATCGTAATCTATTTCCAAAGTTTTTCAAACACCACCTTAATGTATTTCCAAACTTCAATTTTCATTATAGTTTTACAAAATATATTTCAAGTGTCATCATAAAGTGAACTTGAATTAAACTAGTAAGGGCATATATCCTACACAACTTCCAATTATTCATGTAAGTGGTGTATGTAAGATCAAAAAACACCTAGCTCTAGAGGTACTTTTAAAACCCAACTTTAAATAGATTATAAATCCCAAAAAATAAAAATAAAAATAAACAACATAAAAATAGTTCTCAAGAAAAAAGTTGATTAAAATATCCAACCAGAACTTCAAAAGCATCTATTACAACCTCTTTCGCTCATAAAGATTAAAAGATTACTGTCTAGATAACAAAATTCATGCTACCGAATATATTTTGTTACACTAGTACATAACATGGACGGAACAATCGATAGCATTTTTTTTGTGTCGGACCTCAGTAATGGGTAAAACTCTAAATTTAAGTGCACTATTGGAATCTTAACAAAGGTGGTATCTTTTCCATAATATCAACTTATTATCCGAGGAAGTTCATGATAACCAAATGAAGTACCAAATTGCAGAGTACAAAATCTGCAAAAGCGCGTTCTGGAGGTAAATCCTGCAAATTGTTGGAGACAAAATCAGTGACGAAGACCAAACAAAATGTTTTTAAAAGCTAACAAAAGCTCAAGTGACTAAAGATAATATTGCTGGTGTCCGACACAAGGGTGAGAAAATTCAGACAATGAACTTGATAAATGAGGAAGACAAATTAACTTGAAAAATTCAGACCATTAAGGTCTTGTTTGGTTGCCAAGATAGGATTAACCAAATTAAGATTAAATAATCTAATGAAACTCAAATTATTTTATCGGATCTCAGGACATCCAACAAAAAAGCTTCCTAAAAGGCAAGATAAAACATAATAACATAATATATTTGGGTCGACCCGGGAAGTTATTGGGTTTACTAAAAATGAAACAAGATCCAATTATTTAGTTAATCATGGCTAATCTATCCAACCAAACGAGACCTAACTTGATAAAAGTGAAAAATTGGAGATGCATTACCTTGAATTCCTTGTTTTCTTTGTTTACTTGAATTCGAAGACTCACTGTCACCAAAGAAAGCAACAGTCAGACAAAAATAAAATTAAAAAAAATAAATAAAATTCTAATTCGATTAAATATATTGGCAAAATGGAAAGAATAATATACGATCAACTTACCAGCGAGGACTGCGGTCCCCACACATGAGAGCACCCCCGAAAGAAAGGAGTTGAATGGGAATGATCCAACAACGGCCACGTAGGCTATCTGATATCGGAAGAAATAAAACAGAACATCAGCCGACCATGTTCGAGAAAGAGAGCAGAATTTTTTCGAAAATTTTGTATTTATGAAGAACCAGAAGCTTGTTTTTTTAAACATAGTCTAATGTCAAAAATCATATTAGATGATAAAACCAAACAACACTTGATTTACGAAAAATCAAATCCTACGATAAAACCCGTCCACATAATTTATATCTATTTACCTAGTAGACAGTCTTCAGTTTCGTGACCATATCAAAGAAAACTGATCTTTCATTCTCAAAAGGCAATTAGTATGTTATTATTTTTAGGGCAAATTACGGCAACCCCCCTGAGGTATGGCCAAATTACGAAAAAAAACCCATCTTGTTTGGGTAATTACAGCCACCCCCTCCTTTTAAATATTTTTACGTAAAATTTATGTAATTCGGTTATTTACCGAACCAAATCGTATATTCAGTTCCGTAAACGGTAAAAAATGTTGGCGTACCGAAATTTCGGTTCGGTTTTACCGATTTAACATCCCTAAATTTTCCTCTGGAGGGGTATTTTCATAAGATAATACATAGTTAAGGGGATGGCTGTAATTACCTAAACATGAGGGGGTTTCGTAATTTGACCATAACTTAGGGGGTGGCCGTAATTTGCCCTTATTTTCAAAGGGCAATATATCTCGACAAAGCACACAAACAAAGAAGATCTTCCATCTGGACTTCACTATTACAGCATCTTAAGCTAAATTGTTAATGGAGTCCATCTTAAATACGACTGATAAGGTCACTCAATACTCCATGTGTATCTTCTCCTGATTAAGGCCAACTGACTAGAAAAGAATTATAAGAATGTGTAAGAACCCTCAAATTCAAAACCACCTACATAATTTACCTAATTCCCACCCCAAAAATCACAACTCACTAGAAACATATCATTCATTACGTTCTTCCGAAAAAATCATAAAAGACGTGAAAGACATCTTCCTCGTAGTAGCTGAAACATTGTTCCGAAGGGATCCGGGAATATTTTTCATTTTGTTATCGAGGAAGAATTTGAGAATGAAAGTAATGTTCGTTCGTAATACGCGAGGTCAAGGTAGTCAAAATCGAAGTGAAATCAGAGAGGGGTAGTAAAAGCGGAAACGTAAAATCGTAAGAGAAGTATTTTCTTCTCGGACGATAGATTGTTATTTTAGGGCAAATTAGGGCTGGACTTTTCAAATTCCGGATTATTTGGTAAATGGCTAACTTTTTTTAGTTAAAAAACTGAGTTTTTGAGGTCCAAATTCAAAATTTCAGCCCAATCGCCAATATCGCACTAAAATTGCATTATTAACGATTTTGAACGCGATTTTACTCGATTTGAAGGCACTTGCGATTTCAGTGAGATCTTACTCCTTTCCGGTGTGTGAAATCTTAAAATCTGACGATTTTACGATTTAGATCACGATTTTGACTACATTGCGCGGGGAGACAAACTAAAATCATGGCTTAAGGTGTTTTAGAAGGAGGATTTGAAAATTTTGTACATGGCGATCGAGTTACAACCGCCCGTAACTCTTATAGCCTAAAAAATTACTCTTAAAAAGCTAGCCGTCAACCGGATGGCACCGATAAAAAATTAGTTATCAAGGGAAGAACAAACAACCAAGATCTTATAAACCCCACAATGAAATCTTATACTTTCGTTACTGGACAATTCACAAACCCTTCAAATAACCACATAAAAAAAATCATAGAAACTACTGAAATTGATTAAACCTATTTCTACTGCTACACAAAAACCCATAATTTCTAAATCTAGAAAAAGAAAAAAGAGCCTCAAACAAATGGAAATTATGCCGAATCAGATTTTAGAAACATAAATAAGTAAACATATATATGTAAGATTAGAAATCGCGGAACCTGAATTAAAGCAGTGACAACAGCGAAAACAATGTAGAGATCGATGATCTGCAAAGAAATGAAACGATCAATTAATTGCTGAAGGAATTAACATATTAGATTTGTAGAGAGAGAGAGAGAGATATAGAGAGAAGTTGGGACCTTGAGATTAA